GGGCGGGGTGGGGACGGAGTTGGGGTAAGGGTAAGTCTATTCCCGTACGGATTTATATGAGTATCCTCGTATACGTTCACCGTGCAATACGTATAGTCCATCTCCGGTTCAAACGAAGCGGGTTTGGACGAATATCCATTTTTCTCCGGTTCACTGCCATCCCTAAGCTGAACAGATGGGAGCTCTTCTAGGTCCGGTGTTGTGTAATGCTACATCTTAAAATATGTAAACCCAAGTTTAGATTATCGCAAAATAATATATAACTCAGAAGTTTGAGGTCGAACCATAGGAAATTGAGAAGACTTATAATGTAAGAAAAATAAAAGAAATTTTTTTTAAAAATTGTTTGAGAAAGTTGTTTGTTCAAAAGAACGAAATTGATTCAGTAAAAACAATAATTTGAAATACTAAAGTATCGTGGATACCTTTTCAATTCCATACGGCAATTAATTTTGAACTCAATTGAGAACCAGTTGAGGAGTGATCCCAATCAGAGTATTTAACATTGATAATATGAAAACATAAAAAATATAATTAATAACTTAGTTGAATAAATTTAGAAATTTATTTGTAGATCACAAGTATTTATCGTGCTCGGAATCAATGAAAAATCAAGTTTTTTAACAAATAAACTCTAATTTTATAACAAATAAGAAATTAACTATTTTATGAAGACTTTATTTAATTAATTCAAGTATAGAATAACGAATTTGAATCTGAGCAAACAATCTCAATCATTCGATATACGTGATGCAACGAATATGAGCAAAAATTTTACTGAAAAATAAGAATTAAATTAAAAGAATAAATAATGCATTCAAAATATTGGATAAAAAATAATACTGTGCTTCTTTAAAAGTATCTCCTCTAGTTTTAGCTTGACTTTTAGCCAGTTATAAAAACAATACAATATAATTAGAAAAGAAAAGATTAGAGGACCAAAAATGAAAACAATGTAAAACTACAATGAGTAGCAAAAATTAGGTTACATTAGGGTTCCTGGTCTCTGGCCAAATCTTGAACACGTGTCCAGATGCACAACTTTTATCGTCCAGACGTGTATGACTGTCTTGATCTATGAGAAACACACATATGGACGCATGGTCAATTTTGTCCGGACTCAATTGGCAGTGTTTTTCTTTATAATCTTCTGGAGTTCTCATCCAAATGCTCATTCTTTTACGTTCGAATGCATTCTCTCTTCTGTCTAGATGCGTTAGCTTTTCTGTTAAGACCCTATGAAGCACTGACACGTTAAAATGGCTATCGTATCCGTGTTCGACACGTCTGGGACATGGACAAGTTCAGACATGTCCGTGGACACGTGTCGGATACACAGAAAAGAGTGTCTAATTGTTTTTATTTTTTTTTTAACNCAAAATATTGGATAAAAAATAATACTGTGCTTCTTTAAAAGTATCTCCTCTAGTTTTAGCTTGACTTTTAGCCAGTTATAAAAACAATACAATATAATTAGAAAAGAAAAGATTAGAGTACCAAAAATGAAAACAATGTAAAACTACAATGAGTAGCAAAAATTAGGTTACATTAGGGTTCCTGGTCTCTGGCCAAATCTTGAACACGTGTCCAGATGCACAACTTTTATCGTCCAGACGTGTATGACTGTCTTGATCTATGAGAAACACACATCTGGACGCATGGTCAATTCTGTCCGGACTCAATTGGCAGTGTTTTTCTTTATAATCTTCTGGAGTTCTCATCCAAATGCTCATTCTTTTACGTTCGAATGCATTCTCTCTTCTGTCTAGATGCGTTAGCTTTTCTGTTAAGACCCTATGAAGCATTGACACGTTAAAATGGCTAGCGTATCCGTGTTCGACACGTCTGGGACATGGACATGTTCAGACATGTCCGTGGACACGTGTCAGATACACAGAAAAGAGTGTCTAATTGTTTTTATTTTTTTTTTAATTTCGGACACGCCCGGACACCTTTTGAAACAGATTTATGCGATTTGAAATCCATTGAAAATACTCAGAATTATTTGTCGTTGATAGATGATGCCGAATAAAGAACTCCATAGCATGAAGGAGACGAAGATGCTGAACAATGGCCATGACCCATGGGTTCGTTGTCGGCAGAATAAACCCACAGCAGGAAAGATCTGCATCGCAAGGAAGACGAAGATGATAAATAGAGGCTATTATCCATCTGTTTAAGAGTTGTCAAAAAGATTACTGCCAAAAGATTACTTTTTTGGTAGGAAAAGAGGAAGTGCAGCAATTAAATCGTAGATTTTTGGGAGGAGGAGAGATGAGAAGCGAGAGGCAAGAAGTCGTAGAGAACGGGGAGAGAGAGAGAGAGGGCTCTTGGCGTGAGATCGGCCTTTGACGTGTGACTGTGTGAGATCTCCAGCTTATCTAAAGTGGGCGGGCCTCCCTAAGAGGCCTCGGACTTTTTGGTATTTTAAATTAATGGGCCCAATTTACATTGTATTGAATTGAGATCATATTTAGACTGCTGGGCTTGTATTTTACATATTTTAGTTGTATATATTTAGTTCAAACTTTTAACTTGTGGTATCTAAAATGTGAAATGGGCCAAATGTGTAAACTTCTGGTCATACAAAAATATATAAAATTATATTTTATTCAACGTATCCCTAACGTGTCTATGTCCTATTTTTTAAGAAAATTGCGTGTTCGCGTGTCCGTGTCGTGTCATGTCCATGTACCCGTGTCCGTGTCCGTGTCTCTTAGTTAGGACCAATGTCTTCACCTTTTCATGGACAATCTCTCACGTCTGGATGCACCAAGCAGAATGCTTCTTTTTCCTANCTATGTCCTATTTTTTAAGAAAATTGCGTGTTCGCGTGTCCGTGTCGTGTCATGTCCGTGTACCCGTGTCCGTGTCCGTGCTTCTTAGTTAGGACCAATGTCTTCACCTTTTCATGGACAATCTCTCACGTCTGGATGCACCAAGCAGAATGCTTCTTTTTCCTACCTTAGATTTTGGACCTCATCCTCTTTGTTGTATGTTGTCCTATTGGTCATCAACTCACCCTTTTTACCTTTTTACTTGCAAAACTGAGCAGACACTCCAAAAGGAACATCACATTCAAAACTCAATTAAATCAATACAATTAATGCCCTACTCAACGTAATTAGCCAACAATAAATATCACAATATACAATATCTAAGGCTAATCATGTAATAGTGCAAGTGCATATCACCTCCAGGAATAGTACACTAAATTGACTTATAATAAGGTGCAAAGTGCGTAAATAATCAATTGTTTTCATTATTTGATTTGATCCTTCTACAAGTGTTATTAGCATTTCTCTCGTTCCTAATATTGTCTTTACAGGTATTTCTTGGTCACAATGATGTTCGTGATGTTGAAGGAAATGAGTTACCTTGCCTGGTTTATGTTTCTCGTGAAAAGAGACCAGGGTTTGATCACCACAAAAAAGCTGGGGCTATGAATGCTCTGGTAAAGTTCAAGTTTTCCATTTATATATATATGTAGTCTTCTATTCTGTAGTTTTTATTTCGTGGTTTATTTTTGTATCTTTTTCCAACAACCGATAATGAATTCAGATTTTTTGAGCTTTGTCTTCGTTATGATTTCTTAGGTGCGGGTTTCTGCAATTCTTTCAAATGCTCCTTTTCTTCTGAATGTTGACTGTGATCACTACATTAACAATAGCAAGGCGCTAAGGGAAGCCATGTGTTTCATGATGGACCCCACGTCGGGAAAGAAAGTTTGTTATGTGCAGTTTCCACAAAGATTTGATGGTATAGATCATCATGATAGATACTCAAATCGAAATGTTGTTTTCTTTGATGTATGTATATGCCCCTAGTTTTGATTTTCCTTACTTTTCTTTTTGGCATGGGAAAGCTAATTTTGTACTTGTAAATAGATCAATATGAAGGGATTAGATGGTTTACAAGGACCAATATATGTTGGAACCGGGTGTGTTTTCAGAAGGCAAGCCCTTTATGGATACGATGCTCCTGTCAAGAAGAAGCCTCCAAGGAAGACCTGTAACTGTTGGCCTAAGTGGTGCTGTCTATGTTGTGGGTATAGGAAGAACAAGAAAGGAAAACCAAAGAAGGAGAAGAAGAAGAAAATGAAGCACAGGGAGGCATCAAAGCGGATACATGCACTTGAAACCATTGAAGAAGGAATTGAGGGTAAACATTTTCCTTTTACAGCAGCCATTGTATCATGTTACTCCTAATCTACTTTTCCTTCCCCAGAAAGAACAAAAAAAAAAAAATCCAATGTAACAATCTAAATTGGGTTGCACTGCAGAAATAAACTCTGAAAATTCATCTCATGCTTCCCAACTAAAACATGAGAAGAAGTTTGGTCAATCTCCTGTATTTGTAGCATCCACACTTTTGGAAAATGGTGGTATACCTCAAGAAGCCAGTTCTGCATCACTCTTAAAAGAAGCTATTCATGTTATTAGCTGTGGGTATGAAGATAAGACAGAATGGGGAAAAGACGTAAGCAGAGAATAGAAGATTAGCTTGTAGTCCAAATTTTATCTTGACGTGGTGTATTTCTATCACCTTCTAGTCCTCTGACTTTTCAAATTATGTATTAGGTTGGTTGGATATATGGCTCCGTGACGGAGGATATCTTGACAGGATTCAAGATGCACTGCCATGGCTGGCGTTCTGTGTACTGTATGCCCAAGCGGCCTGCATTCAAGGGGTCTGCTCCCATTAATCTCTCAGATCGTCTTCACCAGGTTCTACGATGGGCCCTTGGTTCTGTTGAGATTTTCCTCAGCAAACACTGTCCGATCTGGTATGGATATGGAGGTGGATTAAAATGGTTGGAAAGATTCTCCTATGTAAACTCAGTTGTATATCCTTTGACTTCCATTCCTTTGATTGTCTACTGTACCTTGCCAGCCATCTGCCTTCTCACTGGAAAATTCATTGTTCCCGAGGTACTTTCTTATGCGATGTTCTTGGTTGCTTTCTTAGCATTCCATTTTCCCCCTTTCTTCTTGAAAGTACATTGTAGAATCGTTTATGATATTATGAAGTGACTTGCATTACAAATTCGAAGTTTGGAACTAAACCTTTGTTGCTGTTTTTTAAACTTTTTGACATCGAAAAATTGACCCATCATGTGACTTTATTAATGCCTAAATTAATTTCGAAAAATGATGTTAAACCGTCTAAACCTAGAATTTCATCTGGCATTAATTTAGTGGTCAAACTCAACAATATTACAATATCTCATTTCTGCAGTGCCCTTTTTTCGTCTTCTTTATGTTGGGCAAGCTATGTGTACAAGAATACGAATATGCATGTAGAGGTTTAGCCTCCACGGCGAAATTTCCCGTTCTATATGCAGTATTTACCGCATAAAATACACTTATGGGATGTATCTGATGAATGCAATAATATGATGGCATGCTGAGAATGTAGTGTTCTGCTTATGCCCGACAGCATATGCTGGGATGAGAGTTCTTGTAGTCCGGGGACATAAAATCTCACTGTTTGATCTCTAAGTTAATTTAGTTCTGAAAACTTTTATCTGTTACGATTAATCAAGTACTAAATTTGTTTTGGACTTCCGGGTAATGCTCAATCTGCCAATCTTATGTTCAGATCAGCAACTATGCCAGCATTGTCTTCATGGCCCTCTTCATATCCATTGCTGCAACCGGTATCATTGAGAAGCAATGGGGTGGTGTAGGAATAGATGACTGGTGGAGAAATGAGCAGTTCTGGGTGATTGGAGGAGTTTCATCTCACCTTTTTGCTCTCTTCCAGGGGTTACTGAAGGTTTTGGCTGGTGTTAACACAAATTTTACAGTTACATCCAAAGGAGGAGATGATGACGAATTCTCTGAGCTTTACCTCTTCAAGTGGACATCTCTGTTAATCCCTCCCACAACTCTGTTAATAATAAACATCGTGGGGGTCGTAGTTGGGATCTCAGACGCCATCAATAATGGGTACGGTTCTTGGGGTCCATTATTTGGTAAGCTATTTTTTGCCTTTTGGGTCATCGTTCACCTCTATCCATTCCTCAAAGGATTGATAGGAAAACAAGATAGGATGCCCACAATAATTTTGGTCTGGTCGATTCTGCTAGCTTCAATATTAACTCTTTTGTGGGTCCGAATCAATCCATTTGTTTCTAGAGATGGCCCTGTGCTTGAAATTTGTGGATTGAATTGTGATGATTGAAATGCAAGAGTACAGCCTAAATTATTGAAGTTGCATCTAATAAATGATACTTCAGGAGTCGCCAGGGAGAAAGAAAAAGAGGAGAAAGGAAAGACAGAAGTATTCACTGGCATGGGTTGTGCCGTAGTAATACAATTGATGGGAAATTTTCATGGAAGAAGATTATAGTTGGGAGTTTGTAGATATGAAGCAGTGGGAGCTGACACATTGATTTTTGTTTTACATTATTTTAATTGATTATGTTGTTAAAGGCCTTTATTTTTGTATTTCTTTTTGGTTTTTGGTGATTTTGTATTCATCGGTGAATATTAAATACATAAATTATGCCCTCTCAACAGGGGGTTTCATGTAAGTCTATAAATATACTCTCATCCAGATTTTTTGATTTTTCCGGTTTTATCGACTCAAATCTGAAATATCTGATACGTAGTTTCAATGTTATGCATCGATTAAATTTCTTCAATATATNCCCTCTCAACAGGGGGTTTCATGTAAGTCTATAAATATACTCTCATCCAGATTTTTTTATTTTTCCGGTTTTATTGACTCAAATCTGAAATATCTGATACGTAGTTTCAATGTTATGCATCGATTAAATTTCTTCAATATACACTTTGGGTCTGCAAAGCTTATGTCTGAGTGGACTTGAATAATATCATGCACTCTTTGTAGATGTTTTTACAATCAGGTTCCTTGGGTGGACTTATAGGGAGATTCTGAAGTAGAATATAAAGTTTAAAGCTTCAAACCTCTGATGATTATTTAACAAGAAGATAAAAGAAATTAGAAAAATTCTTTGATGTTGATAAAAAAATTCGTTTTTTGAAATTTGTTTTTTTGTTGGGAAAATCACCAATGAGCTCTATCATATTTTTCTTAGGATAATTAAGACTTACTTTTGATAATTTAATCCTAAGAAGTCTTATACTCCATTAATAGTATATTTTCTTTTAATTTTATACTTCCTATTGGTTTTGCGCAGGATAATTAACATAAATAATACTATTAGAGGATAATTAACATAAATAATGCTATTGGAAGATAAGAATTCAAAGATAAAAAAAAAAATAAAGATATGACATAAAGATATAACGTGATTTGATATAGTATAATTATTTTGGTACACCATATCCACATTCATGGACCAAATATCTATTATTTAATGAAAAATTGGTCATTTGGTAACTGAGTACATAATAGTAAATCTATTTCATTAAGTAAAAATTCAAATTTATGAAGATTTTTATATCTTATGGTTTGTATTTTGTCCCTCTGATAATTGGTAGAATATCATTTACTATAAATCAAAGAGAGTTTATTTTTTTTAATTGACAATTTTTTTGAGTTATGTAGTGTCTTTAGGCATGAGCATTAACTAATATATTTATATTTACTAGTAATGCACGACGTGTGTGCACGTGAACATATTTAAATAATATTTTTTTATATAAATTAAATTATATTTGTAATTAAATCAAATTATAAATTATATGTCAAATAATTAATTCTTATTTTAATTATTACTAAATCTAATTATTGATCTATTGTCCCTCTCTTGGAGTACATAATCTATCTTTTTTTTAGGTATCTCTCTAACCTATTTAAACATTTCTTTTGTTGTTTATAGTGGAACTTAAAAATAATCAACCTCAACTATTTGCATATCTAATTATATTTTAGATTTATCGTTGTCTATATTAATAGTTATGATTTTGTTGCATACTAAAAGAACAAATATGACATATATTTGACTGTAGAATCTAATCTAACAACTATATGTTAATAAAATTTTGAATCATACTATTTATGTACGTGTATTATATAGTGAAGCTCTCATTGTAACTAAAGATCTAACGCTTTAAGAATAAGTGAACAGTTAGAGACTTAATAGGCATACTATTATGATAAAAAGAGTTCTGGTCTAAATGAAATTTATAGGGTAATAGGACATAGGAAGGAAAAATAATGACATTATAATAACGATATGTAAGTTATAATCGACTTTACATTAATAATTAGAGATAAATAGGAAAATCAAAAGTTTTTCACTGATCTTGACATTTATAAGTAGTATAGATATAGATAAAATATTGTAATCTAAATTTATTTATATACAACTTGATCTTTATGTTTCCTATCACATGTTTAATATACATATTCATGGTATATTAAAACTCTTTCAATTTATTTCCTATTTAATTAGGTCACTAATAAACTTATCCATAGTTTATTAGGACTTTTATATTGATTACCCAACAAATTTTTCTTCGTAATAATTAGAGAGTTTGAGTCAAATTCTAACAGTCTCTATTGAACCAAGCTCTTCAAATTTGGTCATGCCCAAGATCGGGCTTAGCACCCACCCTTGTTTTTGATCCATCAATCTTTCAAGCATCATGTGCAAACATGCTCTTTTGAGTCGCCACAATAATCTCTATCTTTCAAGAACCTGCGCCTTGGATGCACCTCTGCTCGCGTCTTACCTGTTCTTGGTAGGTTTTAATGGCTCAGTGACTCGTAATCCACAAGATACTACATCATTACTTGGGTTTATGCTAGCCCAATAGTTCCCAAACCATTGAAATACCACGACTTCAACTCTAAGAGTCAAAAAACTTGAAGAAATATTTTCAATAGAGCACATGTGGTAATTCTTGAAATCCAAATAATCAGGAAGCAACTTAGTCTTCTGTTTGATTTCATACCAACTTTAAAATTTTCCTTGTGGATCTAAAAAATATATGAATCAACTAATTTTTTAAGATTACGCTCTTAATGTACACAGGATAAACATTGTTTCTTAAACACTAAACCTATGGCCATATTATAACCCAAAGAAAGTCCCGTTTGATTCCAGAAATCATGCATCTGTATTAATTCTACCTAATAAAAGGAGAAAATTAATGATATGTCTGAATAATGTTGATACCAGTCATGAGATTATGTCAAATTTCAATTTTATTCAAATACCCGATTTTTCAGATATAGTACATGTGATATTATTTGCTTTGTTAACAATATTCTAATCATATGTAACTATTGAGAGAATAGTCACTATAATATGTGTATTATTCTTACTGAGTGTATTTCAGGAAAGGATCGACATCAAGACTACCATGAAAGATGGTAATATTTTTTGAGTGATTTTTGAAACAAAAGAAATCATTACACACACACAAGTTTGTATAAAAATAAATAGATAATGTTACAACTAACGTGTGTTATTCTTATAGTGATCATAAAATGAACTATTCAAGCAAGACAAAAGGAATATTGATTTAATTATTTTTGTGAAAAGTATGAATTATAAACTCCTAACTACTGAAGTTTGTAGGTAACTTTACTGAAAACCTTCATGAGACAAAACTCGTCTACTAGGAATCACCTAGGGATTTAATGGCTTATTGCATTATGCTAAATGCAATCGTAAAAAAATCTACAAAAATGATTTTACTTCTATTTATGTTTTATTTTGTGAAATAGTTTTTATAATCTATGTTTACTAGGGACTAGTAAAGTTTAAGTTGGGATGTGTGATTAACTCTAATTAGTGCGTAACCTATAATGATTAAGTAATTAACTTGGTAAGATAAAACCACTAAAAATTATCAATTAGGGTTAATTATAATGTGTGTGTAAATTAAAATTTTAAATACTTTATGTTTAAATTTCAAGGTCAAATGCAGAAATATTGGAAAATATGAGGCAATTTTGCAAAGTATGAAACAACTAAGGATCAAAGTGTAATAAAGACACTTCGAAGCTCCAGAATGCGGCACATGGAACCTCCTACAAGGCACCACCATCTGGATGGTGATGCTAGGGTCTGGATGGTCACTTAGGTGGCTAAGCCTTATCTTTCCACCTCGTGCTTGCCTTTTACACCTCATGATTGCCTTTTGTTTATAAATAGGGGACTCCTTCATTCCAAGAAGGCTGGCCATCCTAGAGCTCCAAAGGGAGAAATCCAAGGAAAGAAAAAGAGAGAAAAAGAAAGAAAGAAAGAGAAACTCAAATACAAAGCCGGTCTGTCCTACACCAATATTCTGTATTTCTACATTTCTATTGTATCTTTCTATTCGGATAGTTGAACTACCACCACTTTTTTTGCCTTAATTGATAATAAATGTGGTTGTGTTTCAGTTGTTCCACGTGAAAGAAGATTTAGAGTTTATATTTTAATTTCAGTTGTAATGAAAACTGCCTGCACTTCTTGTTTGTTTGTAGCAATGGAGAGTGAGTAGTTCACTTATACCCTTCGATGAAGGGTGAACATATGTATATTATTGGTTAACTTCTGAAAAGGCTGATGTTTTATTTATATTTTTATCTATATATGTATTATAAGCTTCATGCATGATGCAGTGATGTTCGTACTTTCAGTGATGTGCCTGAAAATATGTCATCAGTGCATCATCAACCTGCTGGTAAAACAACCACGGCATTCCTATCGGTATGACTTATCCTCTACCAGAACGTTGAGGATGTTAACTGATGCATNGATTGACATTAAAGCTCACATGGGTTTTTACTCATCTCCACTATTCATGTCAAGCACTCAAATGTGAACTCAATCCGTAAATTGTCCAAATTACAGATTCAAGGTGCACAAGTGTTGAGTTTGAAAGAAAACACATATGTGATACTTTTGGCAATATGATAAACTTCTATAATGTGCTCATGTATTCAACGTGCAAAATGAAGATCAAGAAATCACAAATCCCATAACAATTAGGGTAGGGGAATATAGTTCAATATTGGATATTTTTCACAAAAAATGTCCAAAATTTTCAAAATTTTCACATTTCCAACTTATTATATACAAAAAGTGGTGGAACATGTAAATGGTGCACCTCACCCCCCAACTTAAACTATGCATTGTCCTCAATGCACAAGGAATCATGTAATGAGAAAAATGAAAGTGACATGAGAAATAAGATACCCCCCTTTTTTTTTTGCATACACATTAAAGGGAAAGCAAAAATATTTGATTACACCCCCCAACTTAAACTTGCACATGATATGGAATGAGATTTTCTACTATGGTGCTCAAAATGAAATGAGTCCAAATTAGGGAGAGGTAAACAATTTCTAAACTACAACATCAAGATAAGAAAAATATAACAATAAAATAAGTCTAACTACTATGTACATGAAAATAAAACAAAAATGGCACATGTCAATCCAGCTTCAATTCGGATATGAGCTTTTGCCCATTGATTTTTTTGATTTTAAAATTTTTTTGTTGTATAAATGCCCTTCTTAAACCATCAATCCAAACATAGAAAGGATGTTGACTCAAAATTCTCAACCGAACTGAGGTATAGGCAAATTTATGCAATGCCCACAATGGAGTATACTATTTANTCGCCCATTGATTTTTTTGATTTTAAAATTT